ACAATGTTATGACGAAATTTATCATCAATAAGAGGACACACGCATAAAAAACTGACGTCAATTTGTTTTTTACAAAAACAAGACCCCAAAATGGCCAAATGCCGGGATAAATGAAGGGAAAAGACGCTGTAAACTTGCCGTAAACAAAGATAACTGAATTTTATTCAAAATGACGCGAACATTGTCAATACCTTTTCTCGCTTTTTGTTCGACTACTTAAAAAAGTCCATAAAATATCATTAGTTAAAAAGTTCACAGTTTGACAGCTGAAAGTTTAACTTGAAAGCTTGCATATTAAAATTTTATCCGTCTATACTCCTATTGATGATAAAAATGAGCCAATCAGCGCCCGGGAAATTAGACAGTTATTGTAAAAAATCGCTGTATATTTGTACTGTTATTTGGGCGGTATTCGCTGCAGCTGGGATAATAATGCTATGTAAATACAGTTCGCATTGGTCTCAGTGAATTGGTATTTTACGAAAGTATGGTAGTTAGATTTGACGTAACGTAGACCGAATCTGTATTTGATTTGCTAATGTTAAAAAAGACGTGTCACGATCTGTGTTACGCGACATTAAGAACTATCACGCATCACGCAGATCAATGGTGAAACATTGCAAAGCACGTGCCTCTGGGAGTAAAAACCTACAAGCTTGTTTCGTCTATGACACGGATGTTTGGCTCCAGCGTGACAGGAGCAGCCGGGAGGTCAAATCCCTGCCTTTTTCCCGAGGGAAGAAAACCGTGTTTCCAGGATGGCGTGACATTGGGTGACAAACGATTAGTTGCCTCAGTAAAGGGCCACAGCGTTGGATTGTAAGAATGTTTGCCATTCAGTGATGACGCCACACTTTTGACGGACAAAGGGCGCTGGGACCATTGCTGTCGAATGTCGCGCAAGCTTAGCATTTGGTAATACTTGTTGACTGCATAGCCTGCTTGTTGGTCACGCTCCCTTTCCAGCCGCATCACGTGACATCTGTCTTGACGGTGCCGTTTTGATAGAGCTTCTACCTTTGTCTTGATGTTGACGAGGAAACTGTCGACAAGTGGAGACATCTCGTTCTTAAGATCTTTACTTTGCTTTAAAACTGCAAGAAACAATAAAAATCAAGTGGTAGTGATGCGAGTCAGGTACCCTTGAACAAGAAGCATTGACTCGCACGCTTTTACTGGAAAGTTAAAATGTTGTGGGAAAAGCGTTGTATGACACTGTCACACCTTGTCAATCGTAGAAAACACGGTGGCGGTACGAAAGTACGGCTTCTACTTTGAGTCCATCGATGTCTGAATGTAAATTTTTATCGCGGCTTAAAAGCTTTAACAGTTTAATAGAAGATTTATATGCGGAAACTATTGAACGGCAAGTTATAAAGGTGATGTCATCAGGTCTGGCTTTCAAACGAGTAAAAACCAACTTCGTCTCCAGGGTCTTCTAGTTTTGTTCGAAATAGCGACCGAGAAGACCGTGGGAACGAAGTGAGCGAGCACCTTCGCCACTCTAATGAAAATTCAATTAGGGTCAGATTCTTTGAGATCGCACGAGGGTCGGAAGGTCGATGAGAAGACATAAGTTTGAACTTGAGTCAACCATCGCGGATATCAGGTTTATTTGTTCTTCTTTGTTTCGAGCTTTACCAGAATTGTAGCAGCTCTCGTAAGCTGCTATGGTTTTATAATTGTAGCAGCTGTTATTGTCTTAGGCTACGGGCATTGCTTCTGTGGCTTGTTCTATATTGTCCTCCCAAAGGGTACGAGACCATTTATGTGAGACCTTATTCTTACGATAGCTGCTACCCGACCCAACTTTGCGGGAAAAGATAATGTATCCTGGATGAACTGGCTCGCGTGTGGGTTAATTAGCGATGCTTTAACAACCCTGCAGCAACCCCGAGGCTATAAGAAAAAAATCTCATTTCCTTGGACTCCAAGTTTACAAAACAGAAATGGTGCTGTATCCCGCAAGTTATGGAGTCATGTTCACTGACTTTCAAATTTTGAAGTACGCTAATACCCCAAGCCTTCATATTTCGGCGAGGGAAACGTGGAGGTCTGCGCGCTCTAGACGTATAAACAATTGTAGGTTTTGGAGAGGTATCCTTTTGAGTTGCTACCAAAAAAATTGCGCTTCTCGTCTTCTGTGAGCGATAGTCAACTACGTTGCGCCTCGTTGACTATTTAAACAATCGAGTGTTTCTGTCGAGGAACTATCGGTTGATAGTTGCTCCACGGAAATTTGATGTTCTTAAGACAAATATGCCAGTTTTAAGACCATCAAATTTCCAAGGGGCAACTATCAGACCGATAGTTCCGAGACATAAACACCCCATTGTCTTTGTTTTTCAGGGCTACATTTCCTTCTGCGCGCCTGAATTATTTTCAACTTTTTTTAAGATGACATCAAACGAAGCGAGTAGCCACACTTCTTAAAACAAATTGCGTTTTCCAATTTTTTATTCCGTAAGCTCCCTTGTTTACAGAGAAATTTTCACGGACGAGTACTATCCATCCGGGTATTTTCCTTACTATGACTATGGGCTGATAGTGTCTCTCCGCCGAAGAATCGGAGAAAATCTAGTGGTAAACTCTAATGGCTCATAGAAAACGAGTAATGGGCGTATTGTTAACTATGAAATTGCAGCTCATAAAACAAGAGGGAGCTCTTTGCAATGTTAACACACCTTTACTGGTCTTCTTTCGACGACTTTCATAGATGATTCCTAAAACACAAGCAAGAAGCAACAAGGCAGCGATAATTATGACTGCGGTGATGAATTGCGGTGAGCGTACGGCAAAAAGACTTGTGGACTGCTGTTCAGCTGGGCTATCGTCTGGTTCCTAAAAAAGTCAAAAGAATAGAGTGTTTTCACAGGACGTCACAATAGTGGTGTTCCAAAACATGAAATGGCGACCATGTTGTTGTCCCATACCACTACTGTGGGAGATGCACTCTTTTCTTATATAAACACTTTCTCTTGTTCCAATAATTTTGCAAGGCTGGTTTTGCTTATATCGCACTGCGCACCGACTGGGGCCTACTGTCGGTGGTCGGCCACTGGGGACCTAGTCTCGCTTTCAACAAGGCATTGGCACTGAAGACTTGTGGAAACTTCTAGGAACCGTGCTGTGGATTGTCAGGTATTCTAATTCTAAGTTAATTCAGGAGCAGCCAGCGAGCAGATTTGCAAGATTTAATCAGGAGCCACAAAATCCATTTCCATAGAAAAATAATAAATAAATGAATAGAGAAGTTTTCTCTTTGTTGGGAAAATTTGAATCTGTTCCGCATTCGGAAGAGGAACATGTCTGACATGTTCATTTCCCACGACGGTTTCTGCTAAAATTTCCCAGTTTGCAAGCATACAGCCAAAACATGATTGCACGAAAGATAGTGTGTATGGAAGGCTAGCAGTGACAGACTCCTTCGTTTGTCTTATAGACCCAATCTCACCTTAAGAATCTTGACATTTTCCTCGATCTTCTGGAACACGCTCGCTGTGTGCGCCTTAATGTGCTCTGTAAAGCAATCCTCCAGTTTCATAGAGTGACCTGCTAGGACCACACCGTAACTAGCCTTGTAATCGTAGACGCGGACAATCCTGAAGCGAGGGTCATCAAACAGATGCTTGTGAGAGGACAGCACATAAAGGTCCACCAAGGCTCCTTTCACTTCCTGGTCTCTCAGTGCTTGGCTGATTTCCTCGTAAGTCCTGTAGCTGCGAACTGCATTGATTCAAACGAGGTAATAAGATGTATAAGTGTCTGCTTTAGGTCAGTAGCGGAAATGTTAGGAAGGAAGCATTCCACTCTGGCGAGTTTATTTGTTTATTTGTTTGTTTTGTGATTCAGGGAAAGCATCGTTACTATAGTTACATGACTCATGCTATTCTAAATCGCAAAGTAGGCTAACATGAATGTACTTGCCATATCACGACATATGTCACAGTGGTGAGTACCATGCCATACAAGTGCTGTGATAAAAAGGATTATCACTCGAGGCATTTATTCCTTCCTTTTCATTGACCGAGAGCCCACCACGCTACCTGCAAATAACTGCCTACAAATAATGGTCTGCTCATGTGTTTTGCTGCAAATAATATTCTGCTCATGCGTAATTGTAACCACGCTGTTCTGTGAAAAATGGAAGATCGCTTCCCTGAACTGTCAGGGAGTGATTAAAATAAGAAAACAAACTTGGGGATCGAAAGATAAAACAATTATTTAACTCGGTTATCGCAAAATATCGTGATTTTTCAGTGTCTCGCAGATCACGAAATTTTTCTCAACCTCGTCCAATAATTTTTCACTACGTGCTTGGCATGATCGAAAGTGGACAACTAGTGCAAGTAGAATAGATTTTCAAAGGACAACTTGATTGCCACGTAACAAGAGAAAGTTCTAACGGCTTGCGTTTGTCCCACTTGGGTCTCATTCTTTTTTAAAGGAAACTGTCGACATCCCTGACCTGGATCATATTAGGTAAGCCTGGATTAGATCATGGTGGTTCACCTACATGACTCACCTGTGTTCATCCTGGCATTTTTGCGGACACCGAGTCGAAAATCAGAATTGTTCGCAATAGCTGCAACCTATACATACAGGTTTGGAAAAATAAATAAAGCAGAAATAAGGGACATAGTTAGAACAAGACGAACATGCCGGCTTAAAAGCCGCTTGCTTATTAAAATTTCCTTATAAAAGGCGCTCTCTGAATGATAACTTGTGTTCACCGTTTCAAGCCAAGTTCTGAGTACAGAGTTTGATCCTGGAGACGTCAACAACGACGACGACGACGACAAGACGACGACCTCAACGACGACGGGCGACGACGACAACGACGACGGCGACGGCCCCGACCACAACCAAGTCTGAGACCGTACGACGACGAAAACTGTGACGAAGTCAACGACGACGAAAGTATCNGCTAACATGAATGTACTTGCCATATCACGACATATGTCACAGTGGTGAGTACCATGCCATACAAGTGCTGAGATAAAAAGGATCATCACTCGAAGAATTTATTCCCTCCTTTTCATTGACCGAGAGCCTACCACGTTACCTGGAAATAACTGCTTACAGATGATGGTCTGCTCATGCGTAGAAGAGAAAGCTCTGACGGCTTACGTCCGCCCTACTTGGGTACCACTCTTTTTTAAAGGAAACTGCCGATAAGTTTAAAATTCTAACTCCTGCTCTAACCGGGGTCATGTTAACTATGCCTGGATTAGTTCATGGTGGTTCACCTACGAGACTCACCTGTGTTCATCCTGGCATTTTTGCGGACACCGAGTCGAAAATCAGAATTGTTTGCAATAGCTGCAACCTATACATATAGGTTTGGAAAAATATATAAAGCAGAATAAGGGACATAGTTAGAACAAGAACATGCCGGCTAAAAAGCTTGCTTATATATTAAAATATCCTGGTAACTTGTGTTCTCAGTTTCAAGCCAAGTTCTGAGTTCAGAGTTTGACCCTGGAGACGTCAACAACGAGGACGACGATAAGACGACGACCTCAACGACGACGGGCGACGACAAGACGACGACCTCAAAGACGACCTCAACGACGACGGGCGACGACGACAACGACGACGGCGACGGCCCCGACCACAACCAAGTCTGAGACCGTACGACGACGAAAACTGTGACGAAGTCAACGACGACGAAAGTATCTCTAAAGTATAGCTGTTAGAAACAGTATCTATAAAGTATAGCTTTTAGGTTATGGTTTAATCTAGCAGTTTTTAACCAACTCCAAAGCTCTATACCCGGTTGTTATAGTACGATTAAGTTAATCCATGATAGCGCAATCTGATTTCAGTTTTCAGTGTAATGTTTTGGCTGAGCAACGGTTTTTTGGTTGTATTGTTGTCCTTCACTTTTGAATCTGATAATCTCAAACTCTACAAAAATAGCAGTAAAAATTATTTATACAATTGGAAAGAAAAACCTTGATTAAAATTCAATCCTGGATAAGCGTTCATCGGCTCACGAGCAACTAGAAGAGAACTTAGCGACATGCGTCCGTCAAATTTTACCAAACTCGCTCCACGGCAACAACTACCGGCACCTTAAAAACGACTTAGTCGCCACCTAAACAAAACCCAGAGACGGACTTCAAAAAGACGGACTTAATTTGACTAACAATAGACGGATCGACACCTACTAGAACCGACCAATGATGGCTGACAAACTACACGAGTCTTTCAGCCAATCCCATCACGACTAAACTGATCAGTCACTTTCAACGGACAGGTTTATAACAACATTCACTGACAAACATTATGCACTTGACCGTGAAGATGACTTCCGCTCAGGTTGTCGAAACGTCAGTCACCAACAACAGTTCTTTTCAGAACTACCCTCACCCGGACGACCACACTATATACGAACTACTGATACTTCTTATTTCAACTGAAACCATTTATGTTTCGCTCTGTTTCATTCGCAGTGATCGAAATTAGTATGAAAGCTTAATCCCGCGTTCTTGACAATTAGAATCAGAGTTAATAAGTTTAAATAGAAAAGGGTAAACCATGCTCTGGACACAGCTGAGAGGTACGCATGAATTTCCGTCAGTTTTAC